CCGCCCCGCCAGTGGTGTGCGTGCACGCGCACACACGTACACGTATACGCGCGTGTTCGCGCTCGCGAGCGCTTATACGTGTGTGTGCGTGTGTTTATGTGTGTTTTGTGTGTGTGTGCGTGTGTGTCGCGTCGAAGGTGGGGCGCGCAAACAAAGGTGGTACTACGATCTCCGACTAACTAGCCACGGTTCGGCCACCGTCACAACCCCATTCCTTCTCTTTTATCGCCGCTCCTTTCTCCCTCTCTCTCTCTCTCTCTCTCTCGCTCTCTTTATTTCTCCTTTGGGAGGAAAGACCATCCCCTTCGATCGGTCGACGAACCTTTCGATCTCTCTCTCTCTCTCTCTCTCTCTCTCTCTTGCCTTTCGTCGAGAGAAATTCGAAATCGCGGGGAGAGGGAAGGGGAAGGGGAATGGGAGGGGATGAGAACCGCCGCCGTACGACGGCATAGCATAATCCCCGGCAATTCGTAATAAATATCGTTGGGACGGCCTGGGTTCGGCGTTATTGGTGTATCTGTCTCTCATCTCGACGATGCCTTTGGGGGAGGGGGGGGGGAGGGCTAAGATGCGAGGCAGAGAACGGCAGACGAAGGGGGAAGATATTATGGGCGTGCGAGTGAGTTATACGGCTTGCCGCATGTGTGTCGCATAAATCTGCCCCGACCTCGGCCCGACCGGCCCCCTCGCGACTGCACTGGAACCGTTTCTAGACTTTCCTTCGATACCGACAACCATGACGACCACGACCACGACCACGACCACGACGACGACGACGACGGCGATGGCGACGACTCTCTCCGGCTCACGATTCCCTGACGACTGACTTGACTGACTTGACTGCTCGACCCGCTCGGATAGTCCCAGATCGATATCGCCTGCCATCCTCTCTCTCTCTCTCTCTCTTTCTCTCTCTCCTTCCCTCGAAACCGAAATTTTTGCCCGCGAAGAATCGTTTCACCGACATCTCGATCGCCGACCGAAACCGCGCTCGTAAAACCTGATCCGCACCGCGGTATTATTTATAGATCGGTGCCGTCCTCGAAACGGCACTCGCGTTTCACGGAATATCGTCCCCCGACAACGATCGACACAAAAGTTTCGAGAAAGGGGAAGAGGCAGAAAAATTACATCGAATCAACTATATATATATATATATATATATATATATATGTATGTATATATGAGAAGGATGAAGATGGAGGAGACGCGCACCTGTCCTTCCGTACATCAGCCGTCCATCATTCGGATCGGCTTCTTTCGTCCCTCTCTCTCTCTCTCTTTCTTCGTACCGCGACGAGGCATCGCACTTATTTACGTTGACACGATATTTATTAGGACGGATCGGTGAGGTTCGTGCGCCGCGGCAGCCTATTTCGGGATCCTCGCGGCGAAAGACCGGCCGGCCACTCGCTCTCTCTCTCTCTCTCTCTCTCTCGAGGAGGGGGGAAGGATTAAGACGCGGAAAACGGTGACGAGGCGGCCGAGGCGGGCCACCCTTGCGAAGAGAAGATCGGGAAGAGGAAGAGCGGGAGGTCGTCGTACCCGATCGAAGCGCGCAACAACCCGTGGAAAAAGGGTGGCGGAAAGGAAAGAATTCGAGCGGCGACGACCACTTGGCGGAGCGGGGGCAGAGCGCGACACGCGGAGGCTGTGTAAACGAAACGATAACCGGACGGATCGACACCAGCTGCTCCGTGTTTGTTGCCGGTTCTATAAATAGGGACACGGACCCGTGTTCCGCTCCTTCTCGCGAGCCGCGCTCGATCTCGATCATCCTCCCCTTTCTCTCCTCTTCCTCCTATCCGCGCCCTTTCTCTCGCGCTTTTTAACTCTCTCGCTCTCTGCAGAGTTGCTGCCGCTTCGTTGCTTCTCCTCCTCCTCCTCCTCCTCCTCCTCCTGCTCCTCCTTCTCCTGCTGTCCGTAGCCGACTCGAGAGACGTTACTTCGCTGACAATTATTGTTGTCACGGGCTCCGCACCGGCAGTCGGTAACGGGAGTGACATTTCGAAAGGCGGCGTGACGGCGAGTGGAAGAAAGAGACGAGAAGGAGAGTCGAGGGGGGAGGGACGGGTGACGGATATCGCGATGAAGGCGTCCTCCTGTCATCTCTCTCTCTCTCTCTCTCTCTCGTTTCCGCTCGCAGAGACCGAAGAGAGAGAAATCCTCGAAATCCTCTCGCGAAAATAAGTATCGTTTCCGGTCGAAATGGAGGGAAAGAGAGAGAGAGAGAGAGAAACAGAGAGAGAGAGAGTTTGGAGGATTTCAGCTTTTTAAGCGGGTGCAGCTACGGCAGCAGCTATACGGCAGCCACGCATCGATCATCACTGTCGCCTGTTGCGCGATCGACCAAACGAACAAACGAAAGAACGAGGAGCGCAGAGAGAGAGAGAGAGAGAGAGAGAGAGAGAGAGAGAGAGGAGCGGTCTTGCCGGACGCGCATCCCATCGTCCATCATCCATCATCCACTCGTCCTACCTGCATCACCGGACTCACCTACGGCGCGACCGTGCGTGCCTCATCATTAATACCGCAGTACGCGCGACGCAATTTACTCGATCGCTCCCCCCTCCCCTTCCCACCATTTCTTTCTTCCAGAAAATATCGCTCGAATTCGAATTTCTTCCGAAAGTGTTAGAAGATCGTACGAAAATAAATTTCGTTCAAATACTGATTGCCCCTTATTATATATACGGATATATATATATATATATATATATATATATATATATACATACACAACGAGAGAAAGAAACGGTTTCCATTCCAAATCGTCCCGAAACGGGGAACGTCTCAATCGAGGGGAAGAGAGAGAGAGAGAGAGGTACGCATTTTTTATGCACCGGTGGAATCGCGAGGAGGAGAAGAGACGAGGAGGGGGAAGGATAAGAAGAAGGAGCGTGGCCGAGAGGGGGAGGGGAGAAGCAGCGATTCGACAGGCTGATGGAGTGAGTGTTGACTTAGGATAACAGTCGGCTCATCGGTCAATCAGTCAGGTAGACCGACTACGGTAGGTCGGTGCTCCGTCTTCGGTTCGGCCCTGTCGTCTCGTTCGGACGCTCTTAAGTGACTCACACGGATCCGACCACCCGACGCGTTCCATCCTGGAAGACAAAGCGATCCTCGAGGAGGAGGAGGAGGAGGAGGAGGAGGAGGGAAGAGGATCGAGTCGTAAACATTTGCGTCAACGCCGAGCGCGACGTGTCGTTCGTCCCAACGATCGAACCGGTCCAACCTCGAAGGAGGGGGAGGAGGAGGAGGAGGAGGAGGAAAGGAGGGGAAGAAAAGCTCGAGGAAACGGTGCAAGGATCGCGAAAGGAAACGTTCGGTTGTTGGAAAGCGAGGCGACCGGGTGAGATTCGAGAGCCGGTTGCTTGGGAGGGGAGAAAGAAGGACGGGGAGCAAGGAGAATGGATTCACCCGTCAGTCACTCTCTGGCAGACCGCGAGAGAATCACAATGCGAACCCTCCCCCCTTTCCTCTTCTCGTCTCTCCTGTCCTTCTGTCCGACCGCCCGCTCGCCCGTTCGCCCATCCTCTCTCTCTCTCTCTCTCTCGCTCTCTCTCTCGCTCTCCTCACGTCCGTCCGCCAAGTCTGTCCGCCTGTCCATCCGATCGTCTCTTCGTCTGCCTCCTGTCACTCTCCTCGCCAGCCTCTCCCGACGCTTCTCTCGCATCAGGAATTCATCTCCTCTCCTGTCCTGCGCCTTGTCCTCCTCCTCCGTTGCTCCTTTTGTTCCCACCCTCCTTCGTCCGTGCTCCTCTCTCTCTCTCTCTCTCTCTCTCTCTCCGTCGTCGCCTTTAGTCACAACTTTTCCTCTCCGCCTTTATCTCCCCAATTTCTCTTTTTTTAATTCTCTCGAATTCGAGATGGAAATCGTAATTTGCAATTTGGGAGGGGGAGAGAGAGCTACAAGGAGGGGGTAGTCTAGAGCCACGTATTATCGGTGCACGCAACAATGCACGGACGAGCATTATTTGCATTCCTGTATCTTGGACGACGAGGACGAGGGCGAGGACGACATCCTGGAGTGTGGAGGAGGAGGAAGGAGGAAGGGGAGGGAAAAGGGAGCGCGAGAGGGATGCTGGAAGCGGGCGGAGCTCGGCGTGCATCGGTGGTCCGCCCTGGGTCCCCTTCTCGGTAGCGGGCCGATTCCAGCCGATCCTCGCATGCCTTTTACCTCCAGAGGCCCTCCCGTTGTCGTCTTCCTCGTTCTCGTCGACGACGCGGTCATCCTCGCGATCCTTTCTTCTTCTTCTTCTTTGAGAGAGAGAGAGAGGAGGCTCTTCCATCGAATCGTTCACGGCCGCGCGGAGGGCTGTGGTCTGGAAGGGCCGTGGACTGCTCCAGGCCGAGAGAGACAATGGACAATGGGGACATAAATCTGCGTAATTAGTTGCCGATGCCTCCTCGGATCGATGCGCGATCTCTTTTCCCTCCTTCTTCCGTGGCCCATCGGCGAACAAACGATCGTTTGGTTGGCCAGTCGGCAAAGTAGGACGGTGCTCTTGCCTGTCCCCACCCCTCTCGGAAGGGAGGTGTGCTGGTCGCTCCCCTTCGCCTTCTTTTTTTTTTTCTTTTTTCCTTCCTCCGAGCGGCCTCGCGCCATCACCGAGGGGGACGAGCCGGAACAAGATGGCGAATTTCCCTTCCGGGAACTGGACGATACTCGCCCGATACGCGCGTCGAACGAATCGCGGCGGGACGATTGGGAAAAGAGTTAATAAGGAATCGTTCGACGCGCGAGGAGGAGGCTGCGCATTTATCGTTTCGCGGCAGACGTCGCCGTCGTCTTTATCGAGAGGCACGATAAATGAAGCGATAACGAACAATGCGTTACCACGCGTCATCCTCCTCCTCCTCCTCTCGACTTTCTCGTTTCGAAAACGGCGAAACGTCCGTCTTCTTCCCTTCCCTTCCCTCCTCCTCGATTCGCATCTTAAACATCGCACAAACACGCCTCCCGATCGAACTGAATTGTGTTCATTTTCCGTTTGCAGGGGAGGACGGAGTCGAAGGCTCAGGGCCCGGCGCGGACCTCCAGGGGGAGGAAGGCGGCGATTGCGCGGAGGATGACGGCCCAATTAGTCCTAGCGAGAGAGGTTGCGCAACGGCGGCCAAGGAGGAGGAAGATGGGGACGCGACCGACGAGGAAGACGACGAGGACGGATCGCCGCCCGCCCCATCGCCTTCCGCGACAGCGAGACTGAACCCCGCCATTCTAAGGGACAGCGGACCGCCGGACAGGTAAACAGACCCTTCTCCTCCTCCATTCTCCTTTCCCTCCCCCTTTCGAAGATGAGAGGAATCGGATCGAATCGAGGGAAGAACGCGTTTATAAACGGTATTAACCGCCGCGGCGTTTGTTGCGCGACGATCGTCGAATGTGGGACGGGCGTAAATTTCGACGAACACGGTTCGCTTGAAACTCATTAGTCGGTGCTTTACCCGGAGCTCGGCGGTCATAAACCGCCTAAATCAACGAGAGCGCCGCTGCCGTTCCCTTTGAAGTTCGCCGGCTCTCTTTGGCCGCCCCTACCCTCCCTCGTCGTGTACACACGCGAACCGTTCTCGTTGTTCGAGCGCGACGAATCGTCACGCGGATCCGTGCCGCGCGAGAGAGACGGAGAGAGTAAACGTGTATCTTTGCGAAAAAGAGAGAGAGAGAGAGAGAGAGGGAAAGAGGAAGAAGGGGTTTAAATAAGCCGGTGCCAGAGCGACGATATCGGCGCGACGGCTAATAGAGATAGGCACGTGTTACGCGTCGTCGACGACGATCCCACCACCGCCACGGCCGCCGCTTTACCGCATCACCGGTTACCACGGGGGCGGTGGTGGATGCGTGTGGCAGGCTGCGGCGGTGGCGCCTCCGCCTCCCCTCCGCCACCCGTCCAAAACTTCCCCTGCATGCGTGCAGGCGCCGTCCCCTCCCCCCTCTCGCGCCACGCATTCGGCATTCGGTCACACGAGCAGTCAGTTACGAGCGAACCGTCGTCGAGCCTACTACACGCGACCGAGTGTGTTCCACCTCTTCTCCCCACCCTCCCGTTCCCAATCCCCGGACAGCATTCGACACTTGCGGCCGATCGTAACCCCCGCACCTCGTTCATGCTTTCAGAGAGCCGATGAGTCCACGCTGCCCCTCGAGAGATTCACGGGAATCGTCCGGGCCGGCGAGCGGGAGCCCCCCGCCGCCAGCGACGAGGAGCACCGCGAGCCCTGTCAGCCCTAGCGGGATCGTGCCGCTACCGCTCGGCACCCATCCACTTCTGCCGCCTCATTCCGCCGCCGTGATGGCGGCCTATCTCCAACAGACCCACCACAGACTGCTGCTCGGCCACTCGCCGCTCTCGCGCGGCTCGGTGTCGCCCCTGGTCTCCTCCTCGTGCTCGCCGCCGGCCGCCACCCCCGGCCTCCTCGTCTCGCCGACGAGCGTCGGCGAGGTGTCGCCCACGGCCACCCCGCTCCCGGCCGTGCTCGACTTCAGCACGAGGAAAGCGTCATCGACCGAGGACGACGAGGAGGAGCAGATACTCAACCTGAGCAAACCGCCCACCCCGTCCTCCTCCTCCACGGAGGCCAACAACGGGCCCCTCGACCTCTCCGTGCCGGGCAGGAAACGTCCCAGCCCCGAGGACTCGCCCCCCCTCCCCGTTAGAAAATCCTCCCGACTCTCGACGAGCACGGCGGCGGCGGCGGCGGCGGCCGCCGCCGCCGCAGCGGCCCACCAGGAGGCGGCCCAGGCCGTGACCGCCGCGGCCGGCTTCGGCAGGCCGCCCGTCGTCTCGCCGTGGACGTCGCCCGTCGTCGCGTCCCACTTCCCCTACTTCGCGGCGGCGGCCGTGGTCGCGGCCGCGGCCACTAGTCAGCAGCAGGCCCTCTCGCCCAAGAGCACGGCGGGCGTGGTGGAGCAGCAGCACCAGCAGCAGCAGCAGCAGCAGCAGCAGCCACATCATCAACACCATCACCAGCACCACCACCACCACCACCATCAGCAACTGTGGAACGGCAAGATGAAGCCGCCGTCCGCGTTGGACAAGTCGTACCAGCCGAGCGAGGCGACCAAAGCGTTGGAGAAGATGAGCGAGTTGAGCAAGCTGGGCGGCGAGGATCTGTTCAGGTCGGGGGCGAGCGGGGCGGGGGGAGGGGCGGGAGGCGCGGTGGCCGCGGCGGCGGCGGCCGCGGCCGCCGCCGCCGCCGCTGTCGCGGGGAACGCGAGCGGTCCCGGCTCCACGTCCGGGAGCAGGCACAGCGCGTGGCAGTCCCACTGGTTGAACAAGGGCGCCGATCAGGCCAAGGACGTGCTGAAATGCGTGTGGTGCAAGCAGAGCTTCCCAACCCTCGCCGCGATGACCACGCACATGAAGGAGGCCAAACACTGCGGCGTCAACATGCCCGTGCCACCGGCCGCCCCCTCGCTCCACCCGCAGCCGCCGACCGTGCCCTGCATCGCCACGCCGCAGCCCCCGCACCAGCCGCAAACCACCTCGTCGGCAAACAGCGGCGGCGGCGGTGGCGGAGGAGGCGGCGGTGGCTCGGTCGCCGCTGGGGGCGGGTCGGCGACGCCGAGCAGCAAGCAGAGCCCGTCCGAGCTGAATCTGTTGATCAAGGAGACGATGCCGTTGCCGAGGAAGCTGGTCCGCGGCCAGGACGTTTGGCTGGGGAAGGGGGCCGAGCAGACGAGGCAGATCCTCAAGTGTATGTGGTGCGGGCAGAGTTTCCGCTCCCTTGCCGAAATGACCTCGCACATGCAGCAGACCCAGCACTACACCAACATCATCTCGCAGGAGCAGATCATCTCGTGGAAGTCGTCGGACGAGAGCAAAGGGGGGAACGGGGCGGGCGGTGGGAGCGGAGGCGGAGGAGGCGGCGGGGGCGGTGGCGGCGGCGGCGGCGCGGGCGCTAGCGGGCCGGTGACGGGCGCCGCGGGGGGCGGCGGCGGGTCGGTGGGAGGCGGGGTGGGGTCCGGGCCGCACGGCGGGAACGCGACCGGGCCCGGGTCGGGCGCGACGAGCAGCCACGTGAGCGCCGTGCTCACGTGCAAGGTGTGCGACCAGGCGTTCAGCTCGTTGAAGGAACTGAGCAATCACATGGTGAAGAACTCGCACTACAAGGAGCACATCATGCGCTCCATCACGGAGAGCGGTGGGCGGAGGAGGCAGACGAGGGAGAAGCGCAAGAAATCGTTGCCGGTGAGGAAGTTGTTGGAGCTGGAGAGGGCACAGAACGAGTTCAAGAACGGGGACGCTGCGGCGGGCCTCGGCCACAATCTGGGGAAACACGCGGGACGTATCACGTGCGAGAAGTGCGGCGAGAAGATCGAGACCACCATCTTCGTCGATCATATACGCCAGTGCATAGGGGCGGGGACAGTGGGCGCGAGTCAGCGCAACTTCTTGAAGAACGCGTTGATGTCCAACCATTTGTCGGCTACGCTGCCGCCCTCGGAGACGGGGCGCAAAAGCGTGACCGAGGACGGCTCCTCGGTCTCCTCGAGACATCATCGGTCACCCTCGTCGGCAAGCGACGCGACCACGCCGGGGAAGGACACTCCGACCCCGACCACGGGCGAGACGACCGGTACCTCGTCCCCGTCCGTGTTGAACGCCATCGAGAAGCTGATCGAGAAGAGTTTCGACTCGAGGGTGAGACACGGTACGCCGGGCCTTCACCACGCCCAACCAGGTGCCCCGATGGGTACCAGTATCTTGAAACGGCTGGGGATCGACGAGAGCGTCGACTACACGAAACCGTTGGTCGACCCGCAAACCATGAACCTGCTTCGCTCGTATCAGCAGCAGCAGCAGCAGCATCAACACCAACAGCAACAGCACTACGCGACGAGCACGGCAGCGCGGCGGGAACGAAGCGGGAGCGAGTCGAGCTCTGTGTCGGAGCGAGGAAGCGGGGGCGGTAGAACAGACTCGATGACGCCCGAGAGACGCGTGGATCTGTCCTCGGTGGGGCACGCGGACGCCAGGCATTCCCATCATCACCGGCTCACGCCCGACAAGCAACTCGGCCCCCAAAATCTGCCCTCGAGCCGCCATCATCCACCCACCGAGGAATCCGGGGACGAGGAATCCTCGACGACCGCGGCCACGTCCGCCTCCGCTTCCGCGGCGGGCGGTGGCGCGGCGACCACGGCTGCTTCCGCGTCCAACGTGGTCGTGGTGAAGAAGGAGCCTCGCGACGAGGAATCGGAGGAACGCGTGGGGAACGAGGAGGAGCAGCAATCGCAGTCGCAACCGCAATCGGGCCGAGAGGTGTTCGTGAAGAAGGAGATAGTGGAGGACTGCAGGGAGGAGGAAGAGGCGGCGGGCTCGTTCCATCATCGGCGAAGCAGCTTGCACGAGGGATCGGAGGAGGGTCGAGAGGTGTTGTCGCCACGGATGAATCCACCGACGCCGAGATCGAGCGGGCAACCGGAACAGTTGACGCGCAGCCCCTGCAGGAACAGCACCAGCAGTCCAACGAGCAGCGATCGGTCGGTCACTCCGCGAGGAACGCCCGACACGAAGGGGTCGAGCAGCCTTGGCGCCCTCTCCTCCATGTTCGACAGCCTGTCAGGGGGCGGAGGAGGCGGTGGCGGGGGCGGCGGGAGCGGCGGCGGCGGCGGCGGAGGCTCGAGCAACGCGGTCGACTCTCAGGGACGCAAGACGAGCAGCCATCCTTTGGCCGCGCTGCAAAAGCTCTGCGACAAGACGGAGACGAGAGGGCCGAGCGGCAGCGCGGCCCGATCAGGCGGCGGACCTGGGACCGCGTCCGGCCTCGCCACCGCGGCCGGAAGCGGCGGCGTGGGCGCGGCCGGCCCCGGTTCCGGGACGGCCCCGGGGGCGATCTTGGCGTTCAGCTGGGCCTGCAACGACGCCGTCGTCACCGCCGACTCCATCATGAAATGCGCCTTCTGCGACACGCCGTTCATCTCCAAGGGGGCGTACAGGCACCACCTGTCGAAGATGCACTTCGTCAAGGACGGCGTGATCCCCGACCCCCTGACCATCGGTCGCTCGGCGGCGGCTGCGGCGGCGGCGGCGGCCGCGGCCGCGGCCGCTGCAGCCGCGGTCTCTCAAACCACCGGGACCGGGCCCCCACCACCATCCGGTCACGCTTCTTCCTCGCCCCCGACTTCCCAGCGCAACAAGTCGCCGCCGCTTCCGCAGGCGAACGGCAGCCCGTCTCAGTCAGCGGCCTCTCCCCTCGAGGAGAGCCCGCACTCCAAATTTCTCAAGTATACGGAGCTGGCCAAACAGTTGTCCAGCAAGTACGTATAGTCCGAGCCCCGTAAGTAGCGGTGCCACTTGTACATAATGTGTATCTATAATGTAACGACTGTAATTAGCGACGCGATTTTGGTCACCTTTTCACCTCCTTCCGACACCTCCTCCTCCCCATCAAACTTATCCCGGTATCCTTTCGTTCGCGATTCCATTATCCGCCTCTCCCCTCTTCTCGCTTCCCCACCTCTCTCTCTCTCTCTCTCTCTCTCTCTCTCTCTCTCTTCCTCGTCACCCGAACCCCCCCCTCCCCTCCCCCGATCGCTCTTTCCATCTCGGCGATAAGCGAGTCGCGCAGCGAAAACCGGAAAGCGGAGGAGGTGGATATCGAACGTGCGTTGATTTTCATTGTGATGCCACCATATCTCGCGGCACTGCTGAGTCAAGGGGCTCGGCCAGCGGCCAAGTTTGTGATTTTATAAATACTTAAGGACATTTACGACTGGCGTTGAGAGAGAGGGAGAGAGAGATAGAGAGAGTGAGAGAGAGGGAGAAAATGCGTTCGAACGAGTGCGAGAGAGAGAGAGAGAGAGAGAGAGAGAGAGAGAGAGAGAGAGAGAGCGTGAACGAGATGAGCGCGTGGAAAGAAAGAGCGACGAAAAGGCAGCGAGGAGAGCGGAGATGAATTTTCTAAGGTGTAGAACAGGAAGGCTTACCTATCGCACAGCTGTCGTAAGGTCAGATCAGCATGTATACCTTTAGAACGTAAGAGCGTAGTTGATTAGCGCATAGGCTAGGCTAGGGTCCGCCCTTGTATAGGAACCTCTTTGTTGATACTTAGAGAGCTGCGAAACCGGTGAGATCGTTCGGGATCGAACCTCGTCGAAACTCTGCTACGAGGGTTTGGAACGAGCCGAGAACGAGAACGAGAACGGGTACGGCGGAAGAATAGCGAGAGAAATGGCATAATGGAGCATCGAGAAGCAACGAGATACGGTGCAATAGCGAGGCTCGCGATTATACTCGAGACACGTGCGCGACGCGACGCGGCCTCCTCGAACGTTATCGTTTTCCTTCGCTCGTAGCGCACGAGTAGACCATTGTAAATTTTCTTTGTTCAAATAATATTTATTGCGCCGTGCGAGTCAACGCGACGTTTTAAGTGTAAAATATTGTCATTACTATCGCTCGGATTATCGCGATATACCGTGTATATTGATTACGATTACGATTATTCTCTATACAATTACGAAGAAAACGAATGGAAAACGCAGCAGAGAGGAATATTGGATAGGGGGCTCCCTGCGCCAGAAATCCCATCGTCTCTCGGCCAACGTGCGTGCTTTTCTGCTTGGCCCGAAAATTCGAAAGGAAGGGGACGAAAAACGGAGAGATGAGAGAAAGAAAATGCTTGGACAAGCACGATCGCCCGCGCGTGCGCGAGAACGCGAGAAGGAAGCTGGTGGCTCGCGAGCGAGAAAGGAAAAGTGAGGCGATGATTGTGCGCGCGTTCGAGGACGAGTAAGCGCGGTTTTGGAGCGGAACACACTTGTATACGTATTTCTTGTAAACTCTAATTCTTCCATCGCGGACTTTAAAAGTATTTATCGATATAACGATAATATTAATATTATTATTGTAATTATATACGACTGCTGAGAGTGTGGCGGGTGTGGGATACGAGAGATCCGCGCGATTGCGATACACGGCACATGCGCGTGAACGAACGCGCAGCGCGTGCGCACTCGCGGATACGAGATACGAGAAACGAGAAATAGCCAACCGTGCGAAAAATACGCTCGAAAAGTACCTACCTACTTACAAATGCGCAACCACAAAGATATGCATCATGTATACGCGATTCTTGAAACCATTTTACCAGATTTGTCATTATTTAATTATTTCGGTTGTATTTTAAAATGCAATTAAAGCTCAAATAAATATATATGTTATAAAGTAAACGGTTCGTCTACGCTTCCTTTACACTTACGTGCGTATAACCTAACCTCGTCATCGTTTTCTTGTCCTTGTTGCACGATCGTGATATTTGTGAATCAAGATACCCGTATAATTTTGAAAATTTGGTCGATCATTTGCCGAGCAGAGTACGATATCCGTGCAAATGTATATGCTTTAAGCATATGCACTCTGTTATCAAAGATACCGAGTCTCGCATAATATCCTCGAAGAATGGACAGAACCCATGGACAACTGGATAAACGAAGAGCTGTGTTACTAACGTAGAAATCACTTAACCCTTCGTCATATTTTAGATTTTTCATTCCAGCAAGTCCACGATAATTTTGTTATTCACTTAAGTGAGTATCATTTTTTTCTTTCAATATCTCAATATTTCAGGAATCAAGTTAAAACAAGTTACATAGGATAATTCTAACGCGTGAATTATTATTATCATTATCATTTGTTGATTCACAAATTATAATTAATTGTATAGTATTTTCTGATTTCATTCGCATAATATTCGTATAAATAGTAAATTTTTCTTTCATCTGATACGTTTACATTGCGAATACAGAATAAATACAATTCCATTTAATTCCTGATTATTGAATAATGATCCGATTTGGATATCATGATAACAAAAATTTTCATCCAAATTATTTACTGGTCGGTCACGTTCGACGAAGAATACATTAGAACAGAAAATAATTATATTTTTTCTTCGACTTTTGGATTATAATCTTCTTGATTCTTTCGACTTGGCTATTTATTATCGTTGCATTTCGTTAAATTTTCAAAATTTTCTCTCACGATTCGCGACAAATCGAAAGAATAATGTTCAACGGGGAAAATAAACATTATGAAACGAGATAGATGCGGTCAGAGGAGTAAGGTGAGGAAGAAGAAGAAAAAAAAAAAAAAGAGAAAAGAAGATGGACTCACCCACCTATTGGCTGGAGCTGGTAATGAATTCGTCTAATGGGTCGTAAAGAATGCGATCTTATGGAGCGGAGAGGATAAAATAAAACATCGGTGGAGAGACTACCGATTCTCGAACGGCTCCTAAACTAACCCTTGCTTCAAAGAAACGAGGCCTTGCTCCTCTCTGTCTCTCTTTCACCATCTTTTACTCTACCCCTTTGTCATCGCTCCTTTTTCTCTCCTTCTTGTTCGTTTCTTTTCTCACTCGTCTCTCATCCTCTGTTCATTCTGTGTGCCCCATAACTTTCCTTTATGTCTCGTGCGCACCGTTTAACCCGTTTGTGCCTGGGATCATGAAACGATAGTGGGATCAAGTGTACAATAAATAGATTCAAACATCGATTCGAATCTTCTATAAACACTTTCAAGAATAAAAAAAATAGATTTCCATTTGTTGAAATTAATTTTTTCTCGTACATGTTTGTCTCCAATTGTAGATATTTCTTTAGAAACATTGTATATGCTTTCACATTTATTATAACAATTTGATAAAATATATCTTTCTAAAACGTACGAAATACCAGAAATATACGAACAATTATTTCTTATCATTTACCATTAACATCTGATTTTTCATTTTCTTTACTAAACTTGATTTCGATTTATAAGTATATATTAATCTAGTTCTTATTGATATTTAATTAATAAATTAACCATTTCTTCCAATATTTCCCCTTTTTTTCCTTTCCAACTTTTCTATATACATTTATATACGAATGGAAAACAAGAGCAAAAGGCATCAGAGAGAAATCCGCCAAGTAACGGTGGTCTCGAGAGATCGAGCGGACCGATAGGTGCAGATTTGTAGGGGTTCTGGTCAACCGATAACCAAACTGTTTCCTCTCCGTGCAAGAATCCTCCCTCCCTCCCTCCCCCATTTTTTTCTTCTCCTCGATATCATCGTTCGACTTAATCGTTAACCACCCCCTCTCGACTCAACTTCCAAATCCACGAAGAAAATCTTTCTCTCTCTCGAATAATGGCACCGAATCGGCTAGTAGTAGTAATAGTAGTAATAGTAGTGGTGGTGGTGGCAAACAGCAAAGTTTCGAGTTCCTGCGGAATGCGAGTTCCTTGGCTGGACCAGAACGATGAAGACGTCAGCTGGTGGAGAACGCGTGGGAGTGCCAGCTGGGTATACACCGCCTGGCTAACCGGTGGGTGTTCGCACTCTCCCCTCCTTCCCCTCCCCTCCATCCTCCTATTCCCTCCAATCCCCGTCCCTCCTCTCCCCCCTTTTCTCTCTAAGTATCATCGTCCCCTCGTTTCTTTTTTTTTTTTCGCCCGCCTCGTTTCAATTTAGTCCCGTAAGATACTCTCCAGGTACATCTACTTTACGACGGCAGCGCGCGCGTACCGGGGGACCACCGCGCGAAAAGAAGTCGAAAAGAAGGTTTTTAAGGGGGCGAGGATAAGGGTGAGACGAGTCTGATCAGGTAAGCTATTATAGGCCTCGGTGAGACCTCGCTATATTTGTTCTCCGTTTTACACGGGGGCTCGCTCACAAGGTGAGCGAACAACAGGGGTTAGATCCGCGGTGGGGCGGTAAAAATTCCGCGCGTGATCGCAGGGCGTATCTCGCGATGATATTTGCTTGATTCGTCGAATGAAATTCTTTTTTTTTTTTTTTTGGATAGTTTTTACGATTTTTGGAAATGTATCGTAAAAATAATCGCGATATTTAAAAGAGGTAGAAACGAATGAATAAGCTAAGAAATTTCGCGCGATATTTGTATGGTAAATTGTTTATTTTATATTATTTTATATCCACTTTGTCGAAAGGGAGTCGACTCGTCGATTCGTCGAACGAAATTTTTTTTTTTTGTTTTTAGATAGTTTCCATGATGCTTTTGGAAATGTGGAAACTATCGTAAAAATAATTTAGGAGGGGTAGAAATGAATGAATAATCTGTATGAGTATAAAAAAATTTCGCGCGATATTTGTATGGTAAATTGTATAATTTTACATTCGCTTCGTCAAAAGCGAGTCGATTCGTCCAACGAAATTTTTTTTTCAGATAGTTTCTATGTTTTGGAAATGTATCGTAAAAATAATTTAGAAAGGGTGGAATTACTTGTATGAGTATAAAAAAATTTCGCGCGATATTTGTATGGTAAATTGTATAATTTTACATTCGCTTCGTCAAAAGGGAGTCGATTCGTCGAACGAAATTTTTTTTTTCAGATAATTTCCACGATTTTTGGAAATGTATCGTAAAAATAATCGCGATATTTAAAAGAGGTAGAAACAAATGAATAACCTAAGAAATTTCGCGCGATATTTGTAAATTATTTAATTTTACATTCACTTCGTCAAAAGCGAGTCGATTCGTCCAACGAAATTTTTTTTTTCAGAAAGTTTCTACGATAGTTTTGGAAATGTATCGTAAAAATAATTTAGAAGAGGTGGAATAACCTGTATGAGTATAAAAAAATTTCGCGCGATATTTGTATGGTAAATTGTATAATTTTACATTCACTTCGTCAAAAGGGAGTCGATTCGTCGAACAAAATTTTTTTTTTCGGATAATTTCCACGATTTTTGAAAATGTATCGTAAAAATAATTGCGATATTTAAAAGAGGTAGAAACAAATGAATAACCTGTTTAACCTATTTTTCAAATAGTTTCCATGATGGTTTTGAAAATGTGGAAATTATCGTAAAAATAATTTAGAAGGGAAATGAGTGAATAATCTGCTTAAATGCGACGATACAAATTTCGTGTGAATATAAAGAAATTTGTGTGATAATATTTGTTTAGTAAATTGTATAATTTTATATTCACTTCGTCGAAAGGGAGTCTATGAAATTTTTTTTTTAGATAGTTTCCACGATAGTTTTGGAAATGTATCGTAAAAATAATTTAGAAAGGGTGGAAATGAATGAATAACCTGTATGAGTATAAAAAAATTTCGCACGATATTTGTATGGTAAATTGTATAATTTTACATTCATTTCGTCAAAAGGAAATCTACTCGTCGATTCGTCCAACGAAATTTTTTTTTTCAGAAAGTTTCTACGATAGTTTTGGAAATGTATCGTAAAAATAATTTAGAAAGGGTGGAATAACCTGTATGAATATAAAAAAATTTCGCGCGATATTTGTATGGTAAATTGTATAATTTTACATTCATTTTACATTCAAAAGGGAATCTACTCGTCGAACGAAATTTTTTTTTTTTCAAATAGTTTCCATGATGGTTTTGAAAATGTGGAAATTATCGTAAAAATAATTTAGAAGGGAAATGAGTGAATAATCTGCTTAAATGCGACGATACAAATTTCGTGTGAATATAAAGAAATTTTGTGATAATATTTGTATAGTAAATTGTATAATTTTATATTCACTTCGTCGAAAGGGAGTCTATGAAATTTTTTTTTTAGATAGTTTCCACGATAGTTTTGGAAATATATCGTAAAAATAATCGCGATATTTAAAAGAGATAGAAACAAAATGAATAACATAAGAAATTTCGCGCAATATTTGTATAATTCATAAATTGTTTAATTTTACATCCACTTCGCCACGGAGTCCATTCGTCGATTCGTCCAAGGAAATTTTTTTTTTCAGATAGCTTTCACGATGGTTTTGGAAATGTATCGTAAAAATAATTTAGAAGGGGTGGAAATGAATGAATAATCTGTTTAATCTATATGAATACAAAGAAATCTCGCGTGATATCGATAAATTTTACAATATAGCACTGGTCAAAAGGGGATGAAAATCCAAAACGTTGTGATGTTTGTATCGTGAAAATAATGGCGACGTTTAGAAGAGGTGGAAACGAATAAATAAATAAATAAATAATTGTCTAATTTTACAATATTGTAATCTGGTCGAAAGGGGATGAAAATCAAAAAGAGTCATGATGTTTGTATCGTAAAAATAATGGCGACACTTAGAGGGGATGGAAACGAATGAATAACCTGCTTAAATGCGCGGCGATACAAATTTCGTACGAGTACAAAGAAATCTCGCGCGATATTTGTATGGTAAATTGTTTTATTTTACGATAC